CGCCTGTGTTCTAAGACTACTTTTAATCAGTTTCTCTAATAACTGTCGTGTTTTACTTGACCCCGTTCCAGTATAAATGACGAGAATTTATCAAAGACAAACGTATGCTATCCGACTAGTCTTCAGGAAAACTAAAAAACTTGGCAAAATGCGCTTGAGTTAAGCGATTGATTAGGTGCCCCCATTGTTCCCTAACCCACATTTTTGATCTTAGACATTGTGCGCTACTTAAATCAAATTTGAAGGCAAATGCGCTCTTTTGGAAAATTAGAAAAAGATATACTAGGCATTCGACACTGGTTTCCTAAGTCTTCGTCAGACTTGGGTAAATGTGCAAAAAGTGGTTAACATTTCAAACGTGTTTTAAAATCGACACTCATCCGGTGTTTGCGCCAGTAGGCGGCCGCCGTGTCCGTCATTCTGCATTGATCGATTCTCGTTTCTTCTATTTCTCCCTGAGATCTTTGTTCACGGCGTCTAACTCAGTGCGCTGACTGATGCGTGACTCATCAGAGCGCATGGCTTCAAGAAGCTCCGACGGTGCGAGTTTTGTCTCAGGTCAAGGTGTACCCAGTATCAAGGGTACTGGTGGTCTCACCTCTTAACTGCCAGAGGATGTTCGTGGGTGCTTATAGAGACGGATTTCCCTATTTGGCCACAATATACTGCATCGTAGGCATCATCTGGAATGTTATAGACGGCTTCCTTCTTATCCAGACAGCCAACCCTATCCCTAGGGTATATAAGCTGGGTGCATAATGTACAGTGCGTGACCTATCTCATGAAATGTTGGCCGAAATTCTGAAATGCGTTTTCGATTAGGAAGGATTACTTGGTCGCGGTTGTGATACTGATTATCTTGAGGCATATTCTTATAACATTTTGGACTCGGCAGGATGTCGGCTTTTAAATTCACTTCTTTTCAATCTCCTGTAGAAAGTGTGCTCGGTAAAAAATGACTACTTAAGTCGCATGCATTTTTCCCATTGATTTTCGATGATCTTTGAAGTTCAAATATAGTTTATAAAAACCATTAACAAAAATATGCTTTCTTTTAGTCAATCAATAGAGAATCACGTCTTCTTTATATTTTATACTTAAGGAAGGAGTATAATAAGGTTTTAAAAAAGTTTCTAATTATGAGACTTTTTAAGACCGCGAAATGTCCATTCACATAGCTTCGTACCTGTCCGTTTACCACTGCTCCTCATGGAATGTACAACATGGTCCGCATCCATGGCGAAATTTTATGGACTCTGTATGATATCTCTTTAATGGCATAGAAAAATATGTGATTTTCTTTACGCGCATGCACCTTGTAGACTGAAATCACTAAGCGCTAATGCAAAGAATGATCAGGCATGCGTTCCGCGTAAAGAAAATCCCATATTTTTCTATGTCATTAAAGAGCTATCATACAGAGCCCATAAAATTTTGCAATGGATGCGGACCATGTTGTAAATTTCATGAGGAGCAGTGGTAAACGGCCAGGTACGATGCTATGTGAATGGACACATCGCGGTCTTAAAAAGTCTCATAATTAGAAACTTTTTTAAAACCTTATTATACTCCTTCCTTAAGTATAAAATATAAAGAAGACGTGATTCTCTATTGATTGACTAAAAGAAAGCATATTTTTGTTTGTGGTTTCCATAAAATATATTTGAATTTCCAAGACCATCGATAATCTATGGGAAAAATGCATGTTACTTAAGTAGTCATTTTTTACGGAACACGCTTTCTACAGGAGATTGAAAAGAAGTGCATTTAAAAGCCGACATCCTGCCGAGTTTACAATGTTATAATAGTATGCCTTGAGATAATCAGTATCACAATCGCGACCAAGTAATCCATCCTAATCGAAAACGCATCTCAGAATTTCAGCCAACATTTCATGAGATAGGTCACGCACTGTAGTCGGCGATTCGTGAGCCACTTTTGGTTTTGCCTCAGTTGTCTTTCAACGAGTTCAGACACATTTATGATATAAATAAGAATTCGCTAAGTGTTTGTTTTAGACACTTGGTTGGGACTATCTAGTTCCTTTCCGACTTGTTGTTTCGTGCGTCGACGTGCAAAATCTCTAGGGCAACCATTTTGAGAAAAGAGTTCAAGCAGGCGATTTAGCTCGACCCGATGGCCCTCTTAGTCAGGGCAATGTGTTTTTGCTCTATGTAGCCCCAAATTATAATAAAACCTACAAACCGTGCCTTTCTTATGCTAAAATTCAACCGACAGGGAATTAGAACTTGGGTCGAGTTGGTCATTGACCTTGGCTTTTTTCAGTTCAGTTTTTTATTCAGTTTATTTGGTAAGGATAATAGGCAAAGCCTTTGAAAACCCTATTGATTACATGTCAGCTCGTTAGAATAACTGTACACGAACAAAAAATTTTCACTATTAAAACAGTACTTGGTTCATTTGAGTAGCATTGTCTCAGAGAAAATATTTGTCTGGACCAGGGGTATTAGTTCAGATTCAGACCGTCGAGGGAAAACAGGGGACACAAATAATCATCCAAGCGTTTCTTGAAGAGTTGCAGGGATATAGCCTCCACGACTGACTGAGGGAGATCGTTCCATTTCTCCACTACCCTCTGCGTGAAAAATTCAGAACGGAGATTCAGCCTGGACATTGTTGTCCGTAACTTCATCGGGTGACCACGAAGATTGGGTGAAAGGTGCCACTGAAACATGTCCTCAAATTTAAGTCCATACTCAAGGCCACGTATTATCTTGTAGACGAGGATAAGATCACCTCTTTGCTGCCTGTAACACAGAGGGAATAAATTAAGGCAATTCAGTCTGTCTGTGTAGGAATGGCTTTTTAGACCGTTTACCAGCTTTGTTGCACGCCGTTGTACCCGTTCGAGGCATTCTTGGTCCTTTACCAGCCATGGCCGCCATGCTTGTATGCCATATTCTAAGTGGGGCCGAACAAATGTGCCGTAAACTCTCCCAAAAAGGTCTTGGTCAAAATTTACGAAAGCCCTTTTTATTGCATGCAGCACTCCCATGGCGTTTTTTGCAGCCTTGTGGCACTGCAGTGTTGGTTTCAGGTTGTTCTGTATCCAAACCCCGAGATCCTTCTGTGAAGATTCTGCGGGGAGCCTTATATCTTTCAGGTGATAAGTTCTCAGACTCTCACTTGAATGAGAGTTGGTTGGACGCAGATGAAGGACGGCACACTTCTCCACATTGAAATCTAGAAGCCATTTCTTCGACCACGCTTGCAGTCGGTGCAGATTATCTTGAAGGGATCTCTGATCATTCGGACCCTTAATGACTTGCCAGAGCTTAACGTCGTCTGCAAACATTATTTTGCCGCAGTCGAGTTCCTGAAGGCTGTCGTTAACGTAAAGGATGAAGAGTAATGGTCCCAGAACTGAGCCTTGCGGCACACCACTGGTCACATTCACCCATTCTGACATATCATCCCCGATACAGACACGTTGTTTCCGACCAACCAGAAACGCCCTAATCCAGTTCAGAAGATCTCCCCGGATGCCGATGTCGCTCAATTTGTGAAGAAGACGTTGGTGTGGGACAGTGTCAAAAGCTTTGCGGAAATCGATGTACACGACATCGACCTCAAAACCCTCTTCTAGAGCCCTGGTCCAGATTTCCAGACAAGCTAGCAGATTTGAGAGGCAGGAACGTCCTCTCCTGAAGCCATGTTGAAAATCCTGCAAGATGTTATTTTCTTCACAAAATTGCTGTATAGCGTTCTTTACTATAGCTTCCATCGTTTTGCAAGGGAGGCAAGTTAAGCTAATAGGTCGAAAGCTGCTTGCTGTCATCTTGCTACCTCCCTTATGCAATGGAACGAGGTTAGCTGTCTTCCACTGTGAGGGCAGCCTTCCTGTTCTCATTGACAGCTCAAAGAGAGTCGAAAGAGGCTTTGACAGCTCCCTTGATAGCTCCTTAAGTATCAGCCCGGGAATTCCGTCGGGTCCAGGAGACTTATC